TATAATAATATAAGTGATTGACCCCAAAAATTTTACCAGGAAACTTTTATAGCTGATAAACACCTTCAGAAAAGTGGTTGGATACAAAATTAACTAAAAAAAAAAATCAGTAGCCCTCCTGTATACAAAAGACAAAAGGAGAAAGAAATTAGAGAAACAACACCTTTCACAATAGCCACTAATAACATAAAGTACCTTAGTGTGAACCTAACCAAGCAAGTCAAAGACTTGTATGAAAAAACTTTCAAGTCTCTGAAGAAAGAATTAGAAGAAGATATGAGAAGATGGAAAGATCTCCCATGCTCATGGCTTGGCAGGATTAACATAGTAAAAATGGCCATCTTACCAAAAGCAATCTACAGATTCAATGCAATTCCCATCAAATTGCCAACACAATTCTTTACAGACTTGGAAAGAAAAATTCTCAACTTCATATGGATTAACAAGAAACCCAGAATTGCTAAAACAATCTTCTACAATAAAAGATCTTCAGGAGGTATCTCCATTCCGGATTTCAAGCTGTACTATAGAGCAACAGTAATAAAAACTGCATGGTACTGGCATAGAAACAGAATGGTGGATCAATGAATCAAGTAGAAAACCCTGAAATAAATCCACACATTTATGAACACCTGATTTTTGATGAAGATGCCAAAATCATACAGTAGAAAAAATATAGCATCTTCAACAAATGGTGCTGGTCTAACTGGATGTCTACATGGAAGGAACAGAACCAACATCTGAAAACTGTCCTCTGACCTCTACGGTAAAGCTATGGCCTTTACACACACATGCACATGTGCACACACACACCTTCATGCACACACAAATACACACACATACATACAAACATATATGCACACCAATAAATAAAGTACAATTTGAAACAATTAAAAGCAGATATTTTAAACTGATTGAAAATATAACTGACATGTGGGATTAGCTTTAAAGAATTTCATACCAATCGTTATCAACACTGAGGTGCTGAAGATATATAGAGTTATAATCTTACTTTTACAATTGAATTACTTATTCTCTCTGCAAAGCATCAAAAATCTACTCTACCTTATTTAGAATGAAGTTAGATGCACCATGTATAAAGGAATATTAAAAGAAATATACACGAAATAATTTAGAAATATTGTGAGAAATACATATAATGAAAATTTGAATGGTTTAAAATCAATTTGTATTTAACTGACTAGACAAAATTTGACTTTAATTTTCCTTTATGAATGCAATCTTTACCTCTTTGTTCCTCATGCTCTAAACAAGAGGGTTTACTATGTATATGACCATGGTGTAATTTTGTCTGTGTCCATGGAATGACTGAAGGTGGAGTGTAATTACATGAAAAGATAGACAGTGCTGACATGAGATGCACAGGTGTAGAAAGCCTTCTTTTGGACCTCAGCTGAGTGCATCCTCAAGACAGTAATGAAAACAAGCAGGTAAGAGTTCAAGATGATGAAAAGAGTGAAAACAATATCAAATACAGTCAGTATGAAAAATTATAATCTCATTCATGTGGATATCAGAACAGGAAGAGGCAGTTGTGTCGGTATGTCACAGAAAAAAAAATGGTTAATCAAATTATCATGACAGGAGAGGTGGAAAGTGAAGGTGACATGGGTTGAGGATTGTAGCAGTCCATACATGTAGGAGACAGTTATCATTTGGACACACATGATACATGTCATGGTGGTGGAGTAATGCAGGGAGTCCCACAATGCTGCATGACAGTCAAAGACAGAGGTCAGGATGAAACTTTCAACAGTAACAAAAGCTACAAACAAGAGTATCTGGACAGCACATGTATTATAGGGTGTTATGTTAATTCTTTTTTCTTTTCTTAAAAACTTTTTTATTGGTTCTTTGTAAATTTCAAATCATGTGTCCCAATCCCATTCATTCCCCCCTTCCCTCATACCTACCCTCCAGCCTTGCAATATATCCTAACAGAGAAAAAAAATTGTGGAATCTGTAGTGTATCACAGTGTGTCCTGCCGTATATTCTTTAGCCCACATTTCTTTGGTTGCAAATGTTCATTGCAATAACTCTTTGGTTCTCATTTGAGGGCCCTGGGTTCTGTCACTCTATCAATACTGGAACCTCACTGGGACTCCTCTCCAAAATCCTATTCTTTCTCTGTGTCATGGAGATTCTGTTGTTTTGAATCTGTAGGACTGGCCCTTCATGCACTCCAATTCAAAGCCTTGGTCTGGACCTACAGCGTGTCTGAGATAGTCTGCCCACTAGCTCTCCAGCTCTTATGCCCTCAGGGCCAGCTCACCTGTACCCCCAAGTCCAGAATCATCTCTACCGTGCTGCACAAACGAGGAGCAGGGCCTGCTCTCCTGAGTGCTGCAGCTGTTGAGGAGCAGGGACAGCTCTCCCGCTCTCATCATCCCAGGTATGGTCCAGGTATCCCACCTGCTATAGGTGGTGGGGTTCAAGGTGGAAGAGTATATCTCTCCCTCATCTATGCCATCACATGGAAGACAAGCGAATGTCTTCTAAATTCATATCCTCGGGGCCGGATCAAATGCGACTCCCACAACGTGCTGTGCCACTCTCCTGAGTACTGTAGCTGGAGAGGGGCAGGTTCAGTTCTTCTGCTCTCACTCTTTCAGGACCAGCTCTCTTATGATGCCCAGGTGAGGGGTGGGGTTAGTTCTACGCAACCCTCAGACATCGACAGGTGACAGCCCAGACCAAAGACTTCTGCCTGGTCTTGGGTGGCAACAGACCACTGCTGCTGCAGGGCCAGGGACCCAGATGTGGCACCTGGTTGCAGCACAGGCCTACACAGGCACCATGGTCCCAGATTGCACCATCAGCTACTCACATTAGGCTGCTCCTCACTATCCTTGACTCTCCAGTTGTCTGTCTTCGTTGTGCCCACATCTTTCTCTTTCTCTTCCATTTCTCTACCGCTTACTTGCTCCTCTTGGTGGTACCCAAGTTCTCTGGGTGTCTGGGGTCATCTCGGGAGTGATCTCAGGAGTGCTATGACCCACTCATCTATTATGGCACCAGGCCGGGGTCCCGTCAAGCATGGTCTGCCTACTTGTGCCTGCAAAACACTGGACTGGTTGTCATCTCAAGCTAGCTCCTTGTCCACACGCCATAGCATCGGTCTGGTGGTTGTCTCTCACTTGCTTTATGTCTGGGCCTACCCAAGTTGACCCATGTGAGGATTATCTGTCTTGGGCTCACTCTGGCCTAGGGTACATGATCCCAATCAGTGTTCTTCTGGCTTGTTTCCTGCCCTAAGAGCCAGTCTGAGCCTGCATAGTGGCTTGAGTGGTAGATTCCTTAGTAAGGGAAGCAGGGGCAGTCACAGGCATGAACTTGGTTGCCTGCTCTTTGATCACCTTCCCCTGGTGAGGTGGCCTTACTAGGCCACAGAGAAAGAGGATCCAAACAGTCCTGATGAGACCTGATAGGCTAGGGTCAGATAGTAGGGGAGTTGTCCCTTCTTTAAGCACATAGAATAACCAGCCCTATAGTCCAATGATCACACAGAAGGAATACAATTTGGTATTTACTCATACATTCAGACTCAATTATGCTTCTGATCACTTATCTACTCATTCATTTCCTTTTACAATGATTCACTAATTAAATAATTTATTTATTTTGTTACTTAACTTTATTTCTTTTGTTGAGTATTCATTTAATAACGGCTATAAACAATAAGCTTGGTAGATGACAATGGGGATTAATAGAGAGCAGTTAGTAGCATCAGAAACGCATGGTTCCCTCTGAGCATCGTTTCTAGTGCTCAAAATTAATGTCACTCCATATAAAGTCTGGTTTTGAGTTCCCTTATCAAACATCCTTCTGAAGCTCACCAAAAAGAACTTCCCATGGCTATTGTTCTAAGGTTCGACATCTTCATTTAACTCAATGTATTATTTAGTAATGAAGGGAAGAACTCACTGTCATTTTCATCTTCTATTAGGTTCCTTGTCCACAAATAATCCAGTCATAATGTAGATTTCCCATTGTCTTGATCAGTGGCATACTTACTAAAAACAACAAAAAACAAAAACTACAAAAATACAGTGATGGAAAGTATTACTGTGCAAAATAGGCATTAGATGTGGTTAAATACTATCTAGAATGCAGAAAAAGAATAGAGATTTTTACAATTAATGTTTTCTTATGATAACTTTATAGTTTATCAGCAATTTACAAATATTTTAAGAAAAGTACTACTTAAATGGTCAGAGAATCCATATGCCGTTAGTTAAAACTACGTAAGTTACGAAGTTCTGTTTATTCTGTGAATTATTTTTTGTTGATTGCAGTCTGTATTTGATCTCTGGAATTCAGAATTACTTAGATTTTGATAATATGCTTTCCTTCATTATGAAAAGTCCATTACAGAAATTATTTTAACCTCAGGATTCAAGATTTTCATACCACCAAAACCATATGAAATACTGCTATTGGGGCTGAGATTGTGGGATTCTGCTTGACAAAATTGCAAGATAATTTTTATAATATTAATATATGAGAACAATTGATATATATATATATGAATTATTTTGAACTTTAACAATTAATGATGTATGAGACCATGAATTCTAAAGAGAGACAGCCAATCATAGGTGCATGTTATGACTAAAAAGATCAGGAAGGAAAAATTAAATAGTAATTAATAATTACAATAATTAAATAATTGAAAATATAACTGTTATAACACACAGATGAGGTTTAGCTAAAAAGTATTTTATATCAATTTATGAAGAAATGTTGCATGTGAATTCTCTAGCATTGTAATCTTGATTAAAATATTAGATTGGCATCTTATTTCTGGCAAGATACACTCAAAATTCACAATAAATTAGTCATATTACCAATGAAGAAAGACAAAGTTCTCCTTTCTAAAATAAAAGTTAAAAAAGTCATGGACAAGAAATAATTACAAATAAACTATTCTTCAAAGTTAAAGGCCCAGTGTTTCACATGCCTAAAAAATACTTCGGAATTAATTGACTAAGTGAAGTGAAGACTTTACTTTTCCAACAACTTTCTTGAATGCATTTTTGACTTCTTTGTTCCTCAGGCTGTAGACCACAGGGTTCAGCATGGGAATGACCATGGTGTAAAACACAGATGCAATTTTGTCAGTGTCCATGGAGTGACTGGAGCTGGGTTGTAAGTACATGAAGATAAGAGACCCAAAGAAGACGAATACAGTGATGAGGTGGGATGCACAGGTAGAGAAGGCCTTCCTTTGTGCCTCAGCTGAGCGCATCCTCAGGATAGCAATGAAAATAAGCAGGTAAGTGTTCAGAATAACCAAAAGAGTGAAAGCAACATCCAGCGTAGCCAGGATAAGGAGAGTAATCTCATTGGTGTAGGTGTCAGAACAAGAAATATTCAGCAGTGGGGGAATGTCACAGAAAAAGTGATTAATCACATTGGAACGGCAGAAGTGCAGACAAAACGCCAGGGCAACGTGGATAGAGGATTGCAAGATGCCACACAAGTAGCAGCAGGTGACAATTAGGACGCAGGAGGTACTTGTCATGATGGTAGTGTAGTGCAGGGGTTTGCACACTGCCGCGTGGCGGTCATAGGCCATTGAGGCGAGAAGCAAACTCTCAACAGCAACAAAGGCTACAAAGAAGAACATCTGGGCAGCACACGCATTGTAGGATATGACTTTATTTCCTGTGAGAAACCCTTCCATTACCTTGGGAGTGATTGCTGAGGCATAAACACAGTCCACCAGGGAGAGGTTACTGAGGAAAAAAATACATGGGGGTGTGAAGCCTGGAGTCCAGCAGAATCAGCATGATCATCCCAAGGTTCCCAACCAGTGTGATCAAATAAATGAGAGTGAAGATGATAGACAAAGGGATCTGCAGCTCTGGGGCATCTGTTAACCCCACAAGAATAAATTCGGTGACCACTGAAATATTCTCCATCAAAGTCATTTGGGAATGATCATGGTAAGTTCCTGGGACAAAGAAAGAAAAACGGTATTTGAATATCCACTGAATTCTACACTATGACCAAGGATGTTTACCCATTGTCTTTTCTTGTAAAAGACACTTTTAGGTGATGAACGGCATGCTGGGGAACTGTGGGCCGTTTGCTCATGTGGAAGTGATACAGATGGACTCTGAGTTTATTTGGTACCACAGGTGGCTTATATAACTGTGGGGCCCTATGCCGTTTCCATTAAACAGGGTGCTGCCTACTCTACTAAATCTTACGGTATTCGTTATCATTGCTTGTAATACTTGCATGCATGTTCGTATAGCATGGACACTGAACGTTTTCAATCAGCACTAAAAACTGTGAGGATGTGTAGCTTCTGTATATGTGCATAAGATCTGGAAAATGTGTTTTACATGTCTGATAAATCCCCCACCAACTTAAAGATATGCAGTAATCTGGGAGTCTGAGCCAGGCACACTCAAATTTGCTCTCTAATTCATTCGAACCCTTAGTTGGCTTATCCATTTTCAATATTACCACTTTGCACAAACTGCATGATATCTTCATAGATTTCAGCAGGACTAAATGTAAGGGAATTTTTTTGTTCAAAATTGATAAACAAAACTGCTTTATTCCCATGTCACAACCTTTTTCACGCAGACTGATATCCCCTACCAAACCATCAACCATGTCTTTGTGATTTGTGTTTGGGAGAACAAAGAGAAAACCAGAAAATTGTTCTCGTTCTTCCATAGAAATGTGCTACTCTTTAGCAAACTATACTGCCTAACTTACCTGATTTATTCACCTCCACAGAGGCTCAAATGACAGATTACTGTTCCTGTTTATGGTATAAGAGACCTTCCACCCAAGAAAACCTCTGGCTCTGGATTTTTGAGACCTATTAATTATCAGTACTAACATCATTCTTATTCAAGAGAGGAGAAGATGTATAAGAACATCCAAACTGAATGTAATTTTTTCCTACCTCACAGGTTCCTCCTCTAGACTTCTTTGAATATAATCATCACCTTACCTGCTTCTAAGGGGAATCTTCTGGTACTAAGCATGAAACTACACATAATGTAAAACAGTTGCTATAATGGAAAGATCATTAGAACAAAAGGGAGACGATACAGTGTGTCTGTAGTGTGGTTCTTTAATTTTTATGGTCCTTATTATCTATTTCGTTTTTACTTGGAAAATAAAAATGGTTTTATTTTGTTCCCCTTACAATTTTAAATTCATGGCATTCATATTTTAGTACTTACCTTTTTTCTAAGAGCAGACAAGTATACAAAAATAGTGTGGTTTGAAGAACTTCATATCCAGAGTATAGGCCCTGCATCCACACCAAAAAATAACATTGTGAGGAAAGTTCTCCTCCTCCTCTATCACAAGGTCTGCTGTACAACTGAACTCTGGCCTGTGCTTTTGACAGTATCAAGGCATCTGTCACAAGCTCTGCACATGTCTCAGGAGAATCAGGGTATGAGAGTAGATATCTCTGGAGGCTGATGATCCCATGTTGGCCATTCATCCCGACCTTAATAGAGACATCAAGAAGTTTAGAATTTTGGTGAAGAGTTCTTGTGATGACGGGAGGGAATAGGTGTTTAGAGGAAAGTGACTCTAATAATCAGGCCTGCAGGGCCAAAATTAGTTAGAGAAGAAAAAATGAATTTCCACTAGGATCTCAGGGTCAAGCACCCACTCTGGTTTTCTGGCCTTTAGCTTTGCCATACAGTTCTAGGACATCACTTTGCTTTCCTTCTAGTTGGTTCTTAATAAAACGTCTACTGTTTTAACACAACAGACATCTTCTAAGATTTTTCTTTGTCATTTCCTTTTATAAAATTATCAGTACATACAACTATATATGTATGTATATTCATCAACTTGTGAGAAAGAATTTATATGTTTTCACATACACACGCACACACACACACACACACACACACACACACACATATATATATATATATATATATATATATATATATATATATATATATATATATATATATACACTGTGCAGTAATTTTGAATAAATCAGGGAAATTAGAATTTTACATATGTTTAACATTTACCAGTTTTAAAAACATCAAAAGTTGTCTTTTGTAGTTAAATATACACTGCTTTTTGTAACTAAAGCAATCCTATTTTGCAGTATGCTTACAGCTAACTAGCAGGAGTGAGTTCCTTTTTCTCTTTCTCTTAAAGATTAGAAGCTATAACCATAATATCTCAACATGTATGCTTGATATGAACTGAACAAGTACAACAATAGAAATACCAAGCTGAATAGGGCAAAGACTGTGAGGTCTCAACCACACACACAGAACTACACACAAACAAGGAATGTTGAGAGTATGGGTAATTGTCTTCTCCAGGGGAATGCACATCAATTAATCATCCAATACCAAATCACCAGTGATGGAAATATATATACAAGTAAAACTAAACGAGCCCAGGTTATATTAAAATACATATATATGAATGAGTGTATGTATGTATAGTTGCATGTAGCAGAATCAATGAAAAGGAGGCCATGAATTCAAAAAACACAGAGGAGTACATGGGAGGGTTTGAAGAAAATAAATTAAAGAGAGAAATTATATAATATCTTTAAAATAACGGAAAATATAATATTTTGAATTTATATTTTGTATATATATATATATATATATAGTATAATATTTACCTCTGATTTTAAGTTCCGTAGTAGAATTTTTTTTCTTCAATCAGTATATTCAAGAACAGTTTGAATCTGTGCTTGTGGAATTGTGGAATTGGGGTTTAACTTCAAATCTTGCTTCTGTTTCCTGTTGCACTTTTGTCTTGGCTGGCCGACTTAATCTTTTCAAGCTTCAGTATAACACTTGTGTGAAAAAAAAATTAAGTAGATGTGACTTACTTATAAAAGAGAGAGAATGGGAAGTTGAGAGGAGGATGTGAAGGTGAGGATAACGTTAGTTAGGTCTCCCATACATGTACACAATAAATTACTAGACTCTTCCACTCTCTAGCCTCCACACATCTTTCTCAACATGACCAAACTACATGCCCTCTTCCTTGTATATAAATAACTCATTAAGTTCAATTAATTCCGCTCGTACATACATGGGTGTGGAGCCATAAGCCAGCACATGAGCAGTGTACCCAAGGCTAAACTCCCAAAGAAGAATGATTTTTCTCTTCCCACAAAACTGCTAGCAGTTGCCAGTGTTTCTTCAGTCGTGGACCACACAGACCACAGCTATTGTATGCACCTATGCATGTAAGTGTTCTGTGTGGGGTGGAGGTTGCTTCACATATGTTTGTGTTTGGAAGTCAAAAGGCAACTTCTGCTTTCCTCAAGAATGCTTCTTTTGAGAAAGGTCTCACATTGACCTGGAAGCATCTTTCTTTTCCTGGTAAATTTAATCAGATAGGAAACACACATGATTATTAAATAAATCTAAGATTCTGTCATATGAATTAGTTAAGTTCTCTAAATGCTAACCTGATGTCAGTGATTCAAGTTCACATACTTATTTGGAAGTTGATAACAGAATTGATGAAGGAGTGAGAAAGGTATTAAGAAAACAGAAGAATAGAAAATTAGGCTTTCACTTAGGAATAGCTGATCTATATAAACATTTTGGATTTAGTGTTATTAGGAACCTAATATCTCATAGAAGTCCATAGAAGATGTGATTCAGTGGCATTAACAAATAGTTGGGTAATAGGTTGTTTGTTCTCCCTGCTCTCCTTTTTGCATTTTATTTGATAAAAGAGCAAAGAAATAGTAATAATTATCTAAAATTTTCAGTAGCCCGTATTTAGTTTCCAAAAATCAAGAATTAGAATGGGAAATTTTTTTTTAAAAGTAGAGATACAAAAATTTCTCTCAGAGAAACTTCTTTTTTCAATGTACAGGAGCATTTAATACAGGTATGCATGCTTGGTCCAAGTGCTGAGAATAAAAGACTGAGTTCATGTGTTGTCACTAAAACTAAAGTGACAACACATTCTAGAGAGGATGTGGAGAAAGGGGAACCCTCCTCCATTGCTGGTGGGAATGTAAACATCTACAACCACTTTGGAAACCAACTGAAACCAGTTTTCTCAGAAAACTGGGAATAGTGCTACATCAAGATCTAGATATACCACTCCTAGGCATATATCCAAAATATGCTCAACTATACAGCAAGAGCATTTGCTCAACCATGTATGTAGCAGCTTTATTCATAATAGCCAGAATCGGGAAACCCAAATGTCCCTCAACCAAAGAATGAATACAGAAACTGCAGTACATTTACACAATAAAATACTACTCAGGTATTAAAAACAAAAAAAAATCATGAAATTTTCAGGCAAATGGATGGAACTAGCAAAGGTCATCCTGAGTGAGGTAACCCAGAAGCAAAGAGACATGCATGGTATATACTCACTTATAAGTGGATATTAGCCATATAATATAGGATAAACATACTGAAAATCAAAGACCTAAAGAAACTAAACAATAATGGGGACCCTGGAGAAGATGCTTAATTCTCATTCAGAAGGGAAAAACAGGATAGACACCAGACACAGTAGAAGAAAGGGGCCAGGACTGGATCCTACCACTGATGTTCTCTAAAAGACTCCAACCATCAGGTGATTGAAGCCCATACAGAGACTCACAGACAAACTGGACAGCGAGTTGGGTGTCTTATGGAAGGAGGGAGACATAAAAGGACCCAGAGTGGACAGAAACCACACAAGGAGACCAACAAAGCCAAAAAGATCAGGGCCTAGGGGGAAGTGCAGAGACTGATGCATCAACCAAGGACCATGCATGGAGAGGACCTAGACACCCTGCTCAGATGTAGCCCATAGGCAGCTCACTGTCCATGGGGGTTCCTGAGTAAGAGGAGAAGAAACAGTCTCTGACATGAACTTGGTTGCCCTCTCCTTGATCACTTCTACACGGTGGGGCAACCTAGCCAGCCTACAGAGGAAGAGGATCCAGGCAGTCCTGATAAGACCTGATAGGCTAGGATCATACAATAAGAGAGGGGGGCTTTCCTTCTCAGTGGGCTCGGAAAGAGGGATAGGAGAGGAAGAGGGAGGTAGGGTGGGACCAGGAGATGAGAGAAGAGGTTTTAACGGGTATTCAACTTGAATAAACTGTAAATAATAATGCTAATAATAATAATCTCAAAAAAGAAAAGAAAAAGAGTGTTAGAGCCAACAGATGCAAAGGAGAGCCGTGAAATGATATCTTCTGGACATGGCATGGTTAACGTTATCAATTCAGCATCTGTGGCTAGCTGCACAGGACCAAGTGAGAAAAACACCCCAGGCAAATTTGTTAGATGATCTCCAGGTCTCATCTATTTGTCAGGAGTTATGTTGGAAATTGATGGTTGCTGGAGAAAGAAAGAAAGAAACATTGTTTTTTGGGGGGATGAGACAACTATATTTCCCATTCCCCACACCCACATATATAGCTCACTAGATTTATTTAATTATCAAAAACTTATAACATTAAAAATCTTGGAATAAGGAAAGATCATATTGAGGGGATTATAAGAATAATTGGGAGGGGGACTGGAGAATGAGAAGGTAGAAATGATATTTTATTGTATAATGTATGAAGTTCTTTAAATTGCAAATAAACAGTTCTAATAACTGTAACTAGGTTAAACTTATTGCACATTTTTAAGTGATTGTTTTAAAAATTAAAAAAAAAGTGTTGGATAGAATGAAAGCAAGTACCAAGAAGTTTCTATGCGCTTTGGAACACATAAAACAAGATTTTTGTGCAGTTGAAATGCATCTTCATGAGTTAAGTGTGATAAGAAAAATGATTGCCCTCAAAGGGAATCTTTTCCTCGGAGAGCTCCAAGCCTTTGCAGTCTTCTCCAGATTCCTATATAGTAAGAACTATAGTCCCATTTTTACTTCATATGACATTGTTGAAAGGGGGTTACAGATTGAGCAGAGTCCTTTTGATCATTATGTTTTGAAGTGATTGTTAATCCCTATCTGCACAATAACCTTGTTCCATACCGAGTATTTATAGTGAGTCTTCAACCATGGCCAGAGGAAACTAACAAGGTAATTATTACCCGAACTCATTCTGATGGGAGAATCACATACTAAAGTTTTAAAATATATTCCTCTCTTAGCTAGTTTTTACCAAAATTATTCCATGAAATATATGAAAATTTATTTCTTTTCAAAAAAATGAAGAAACTATGCTTAGTCAAATAAGATAACTTCTAATAATACTGAAACTGTGTGTGTGTGTGTGTGTGTGTGTGTGTGTGTGTGTGTTAGATGCTAGACTCAAGGCAAGTCATCCTGGGTCCTTCTGCTAATCCCGTCATCATATCTTGATGTCTCAGGAGCCTTAGAATTTTAACTAAATTATTTTGAAAAGCAATTTCTCCCAATGTCTTTGTACATTAATTCGATGGTGAATTTCTGGTTCTAGACACATAATGCAGTTTTGTGTTATCCTTCATCTTAAGGAGTAAATAAATAAATAAATAAATAAATAAATAAATAAATATAAATAAATAAAAAGCTAGTAAAACTTTAACATGGAAACAAACAGCTATTTTATCTATAACATTTTGAGGTCAGATATGGATGTTTGACCTATTTTTTTTCCTTAAAGTTACAAAACTAATAGACTTTAAGACTTAAAATCATGGCATCACAAGAATTCAAAGATAATTATGAAATGACAATGATTCTCTTCTTAAAATAATTGAGAGAAACCCAGGGTGGATGATGCTCTGGTTGGGTTATTGGCTGATTCCTGTAATTTATTGAGCTATGAACTTGCTAAAGCAAGATGAAGGCCATGTCTGCATATTCCTTAACATTCTGAAATCCTTATCCCATTTTTTATCTCAGTTCTCCAATCTCATTCTTTGTTAATTTAGAAATTGTCACAGTGCAATTATTTTTAACATCAAATTTACTACAATCAGTTATAGATAAATTTGAATTTTGAACAAATTTATACTAGATGTAGATTGTTAAGAAGTCCCATTCCCTAATCCTCTGAACTGTAGCATATATACATAGACACATATACATATATAAATATGTACATATATAATCATGTATATGAATATGTGTGTATAATTTTGAATGTAACTGTTAACATATAGTATGAACTGGAATGTTGTGTTATTTCTCTGTTTCAATTACCTAAATATACAAATAGTTTTGTAGCCTATTTTTTCATACTCATCATAAGAACTTGACAAATGCACTTCTAATATCCACATTCTAAGCTCAGGCACTTGTGTCGTTGTGGTTTTATTTGACTGTGTTGTTGAGAATATTCCACATTATCTAGATGAGCCAATGAAAACAGCAGACTTCATGAAACACAGTGAATATTTATTCTGCAAACCTTCATATTTAAGCTATTCTGTGGGTGTAATAACTTGAGGTCAGACATGTGGAATACAGCATAGCAGGGCCAGGCAAGGAGGGTTGTGAAATGAGAATCTACACACAAGCTAAAATATAAATTCAAATAATGAATTAACTCTAGATAGCTTGGTTTTTCATTGATCATGACAATGGCTAATATGTCCATTTATGTGGTAGAAGAAAGAATATCACCAGAAGAGTAGAGGAAGGGGAGATATGAAAGGATACAGCATGTGTTTAGAAGCAAATCACAAGACAAAGTTGCCTGTTGTCAATGTCTGCCTCTGCCTCAAAACCTTGTGCTCTTACCTGTCTTAACCAGAAGTATTGTCTTCCATTCTAAGAGTAATAATGTAACTATTGCTTATCAGCTTTTCCTTATTCGTTATCTCATTTAGATCTCACAAGAATCACTTAGATGGGTCCAATATAATGTATGGCCAGAGAAGTTGTGTAGAGATTTAATATCTCTAGTCGTAAATAATAAAGATAATAAATGAGTATGTATACACCTTTTTGCAGAGTACACGTATTATATGGGAAACTATATCTTTTATAAAACTTATCTTTGTTGGCCGAGCTGACCTGTAATGACATATTTATTTTAATGAATATAATATGCAGATATTTATGACTTAATCTACAGTTTATTTTGGCACATTGACCTGTGTACAGTGAATGTAATGATTCAGTATGAACTGAGTGAACTTAAAATCATAAATAGAACAGCTTAGAAATGACTGCTTAACTTACAGGACATTCTGTACTCTCTGAATGTCTGAATACATAAATAAATAATTTTTCAAACTTTGTTGTTATAGCTTCATATAGATACAGAAATTATAATTAATCAGCTTCACAGTGTTGAAGAGACTAAATTATTTCTGCATGTTGAGCCTTTGTTCTTTCAACTTCATCCATTTTGAAGAACCTTCTGTGGTTCCAGAAAAAGAGCTATGAAGAACAACACAGAAGTGAATGAATTCATCCTCCTGGGGCTAACAAAAGCACCCGACCTTCAAATTCTTCTCTTTCTGATGTTTGCATTTGTCTACGCCCTCACTTTGGTTGGAAATCTTGGAATGATCCTTCTGATCTTGTTGGATGGTCGTCTCCATACCCCCATGTACTTCTTTCTCAGCAACCTGTCCTTGGTAGACTTTGGTTCTTCCTCAACGGTCACTCCAAAGGTCATGGCTGGATTCCTCATGGGAAACAATGTAATTTCCTACAATGAATGTGCTGTTCAGATGTTCTTCTTCGTCTTCTTTGCCACCGTGGATAGCTATCTCTTAGCCTCAATGGCATATGATCGTTATGCTGCGGTGTGTAAACCTTTACATTATACTACCACCCTGACGAAAGGTGTGTGTGCTTCTCTGGCCATTGGCTCCTATGCCTTTGGCGTTTTGAATGCTTCTATACAAACAGGAGACACCTTCTGCCTCCCTTTTTGTGCATACAATGTGATTAACCACTTCTTCTGTGATATACCAGCGGTGAGGAATCTGGCTTGCTCTTATAAGCAAGTGAATGAGACGATTCTTATTCTGATGTCTAGCTTCCACATCATGTTTGCTTTTCTTGTTATCTTGATTTCCTACTTACTCATATTTATGAACATTTTGAAGATGCATTCAAGCGAGGGATACCAGAAGGCCTTCTCCACGTGTGCTTCTCACCTCACTGCAGTTTTCACATTTTATGGAACTGTCACCATAATGTACTTAAAGCCAAGTTCCAGTCATTCCATGGACACTGATAAATTCGTCTCTGTATTTTATACTATGGTCATCCCCATGCTGAATCCTATTGTCTACAGCCTGAGGAACAAAGAAGTTAAAAACGCCTTAAAGAAGGTTGTCAAAAAGGCAAAGCTATATGTATGTGTAGTACATTAATGAGGTACACTGATAAAAACATTATTTTATTTCTCATAAATTGTGTTTGATGATGTAAATGTTAATGATAATATGGAATGCTTACAACACAGAATTATATCTAGCTTCATTCTTTTCTTTCTCTGATGAATATATGCGCACATAGACTTCGGGGCTGGTTAAATTTGGTATGTAATGTTTACAGGTATTTGTAAAGTGTTTTCTAATGAGTATATAAAATAATAAAAGCATTAAACAAAAACTGTATCATGGTTTATATATACTTTTATTTAATGAAATATATGCTTATTCTTAGGATATGTTATTGGTTACAAAAATTATAATAAATAAGAATATTTCACTTATTACTGAGTTATTTGGTAATAACATACAAATAAGAAAAATTTTACTTATTAACTGAGTTATTTAGTAACAAAAAATATGACAAATTCTTTTTTGTATGTGTGCTGGTATCCTTTTATTTTAGGAGTACACAGCAGTTCAATTCATCAAACAATCACCTTTGAAATCTTCCTCTCCCATTCATCACTGACTTTTATTACTAAACAAAGAGATGGGGGACAGAGTCAGGCTCCAATGGGTTCTTGGGCATCAAGGACAGAGACGTGGCATCAATATAATAAAGGCAATGACCACCAGATTGGTGTTAATAAGATGCCCCTGAATAGTTCAAGCCTCAAAGTATTTATTTCACTTCAAAGATGTGACAAATTTCTTAAGTATTTGAAAAAAGTGGAAGATTGAGTCATTTTTAACATTAAGCTTATAACAATCCTTTAATATTTGGCAAAATCTAAACAACAACACTCCATCCAAAATAACAATATCTTCTTTGAATATTTTAAATGGCTTTAATAAAATTTTAGTATATGTACATATATATTAATAATATATATACATATATACTTAAAATCCTAACTTTCCTAATCATTCATCTCTTTCTTTCGTTCTTTCTTTCCTTATTTTCTTTATTATTTTTTGCAATTTCACTTTGTATCCCTGCTGTAGCCCCCTCCCTCATCTCCTCCCAGTCCCACCCTCCACCCCTTTCTTCCCCTATGTCCCTAACCTAGTCCCCTGATAAGGGAGGACCTCCTCCCCTTCTATCTGACCCTAGCTCATCAGGTATCATCAGGGATGATGGCATCATCTTCCTCTGTGGTCTAGCATGGCTATAACCCCCAGGGAGAGGTAATCAAAGAGCCAGAGCCAGGCACTGAGTTCATATCAGAGACAGCCCCTGATCCCCTTACTAGGGACCCCACTTGGAAAATGAGCAGCCTATGGGCTTCATATGAGCAGAGGTTTTAGGTCCTCTCCATGCATGGTCCTTGGCTGGAGTATTGGTCTCTACATGTCCCCCTGGCTTTTTGGCTCTGTTGCTCTCCTTGTGGCACTCCAAGTCTTACTATTTCCCCCTTCTATAAGGTTCCCTGCACTCTGCCCAAAGTTCGGCTACGAGTCTCAGCATCCCTTTTGATACCCTGATGCATTCATCCCTTAATTCGCACTAAATTCTTTTTATTCAAGAACAGATCTAAGTAGACTTCTGGATTAAAAATCTTACCATTTGCACATGTCTCTGCAGAAAATAATTCCTCCATTATCTTTAGTTTCGTAATTAAATAATGTATACTTAGAAACAGATATATGAACTCCTGAACGATATTTGAAACATAAGTGTATCTTCTTTATTCTGTCTGGTTTATATTTCATAGTACCTGTCAATATACAAGTCTTTGTGCTTTTTTTATTCATAAATTCATCTATCTTCCTAAACTTGGATAAAAACTCCTTGACAGAAGAAGCTAGATCTTGTGCTTTCATAGTTTTATCCTCAGTAGTTCATACATTGTCTTCTACATAGAGATTCAAATATTTACTATATTAATAAATGAGTTGTCCATGTTCTATACAATTAGAAACAGCAATTCACGATTAATAAAACTGTGATTAAATGTCATATGGGGCTTATATTAATGTTAATGGAGATGTGGGGGTACAATAGAAATATTTTCTAATGCATTACACTTTTTTTCTTCAAATTACTTATATCTTCTCATTTTGGACCAACATTAAATTTGAAAAGTTTTTGCAAAGCTACTATAAGATGTTTGCACATTTATTTCACTTTTTTTAATAACATGGTCAGACTTATTTCAGATTTCATCAGTTTTTCAATAATATTCAACTCTGTTTTCCCATGAAATAAAGTTGTTATTAATTTATGATATAATTTTAAATGGTGTTCTATCAGCAAAATACACTAATACCATCACTACTGCAAGAAGACTAATGTACAACAATAAATAAGCAAATACATATTGTGCTAGAGAGTGATACTTAAAAAGACTAAGTATTTTTTTTGTATTTTATTTTTTTCTTATCAGTTATATTTTATTAACTCTGTACCCCAGCCGTGTCCCGATCCCTCATTCCCTCCCAGTCCCTCCCTGCCTCCCTCCTCTCCACCGTGCCCCTTGCCAAGTCCACTGATAGGGGGGACCTCCTCCCCATTCATCTGATCCTGTTTTATCAGGTATCTTCAGGACTGGCTGCAAAATGACTCGCATGTGAAAATCACCGTAAGTATTTGAGAATGCTACAAGATTTTATATTGGCTTCACTCTTAAAACTATGAATAAATTTTATTTTAAAAACATTTTACTGAGCATTAAAATAATTCTAGAGTTCATTACCTAACTCTTTCATAGACCATTTGTCTAGTGTTTCCAAAACACTAACTTCAGTGTTACAGCCATGAAAAAAGCAATTGAGGTCTCTGTTGTATGGTGAATGAATGGTATATAGTAAACTCGCTCTAGATTAACAGAACCAGTAGAATATACCAAGAGATATATGAGATTAACTGTGAAGAATGAAGGTCTGAGATTATGGAGGTCAAGAAGTCGCAGGATGTGTGGTATTGAAGCTGGAACCTTCAAGAGCCAATGGTACAACACCTGACCAAACCATTCCTCGAAACAAAACAAAATAAAATAGTCAAAAGGTGACTTCCAGTCTAAGCATGAGGGCCTGAGAACGAGAAGAACCATTGCTTCAGGACAGAGGGAAACAGATGTTGCAAGCTCCTACTTCCTCTGCTTGTTTGGTCAATCAGACCCTCAAGGGATTGGACAACATCTTGGATGTGGCAGTATTTAATGCATGGTAATCCAGACAGCTAAATTTAACTTCACAGATGTCCAAATATATATAATAAATTGGCTAAATAGTTCCTAGCTTAGGTGATAAAATAAAATCAGTAATTAAGGTGATAAAGTTTATATGTAATCTAGTCAGTTCTACCTAGATTCTAATTCCACCTAAGTGAAAAAAGTAAGAGAAAAAGGCCTGGATCATAATGAACCATCTGAAATATTTTTAAAAAATCAATGAAAAACCATGAAATTAGAATAGTAAAGTTATATTTTTTGAAAATTAACATGCATATTAACTAAATAAAAAGTTGCTCGGACTGATGTATAACCTGGGATTGATCATGTTACCTCATCCTCCCAAGGAACTGAGGTTAAAGGTATGTGCCTGACTTTGGACAACAGCCAGATTTAATTGTAATAAGCCTAATATCATTCACTGCTTTTGAAAGAAATATGATATTATGTATTTAACTGACTGAATTTGAATAAATATCAACTGATACATCTTTACTGAGGTAAAATGATAATCAAATTTAAATGTAAAATCAAGACATTCTAAAATCAATGTAACTATGGACAGATAATTTTTGTTGTTTTTTTATTACAATTTATTCACTTTGTATCCAGGTTGTAGCCCCCTCACTCATCTCCTCCCAGTCACACTGTCTTTCCCTCTTTCTCCCCATCTCTCTTCCCTAGTCCACTGATTGGGGAGGACCTCCTCCCCTGCTGTCTGACCCTAGCCTATTAGGTCCCATCAGGACTGCCTGGATCCTCTTCTTCTGTGAGCTGGTTAGGTTGCCCCACCAGGGAGAAGTGATCAAGGGGCAGGCAACTGAGTTCATGTCAGATGAGATGTCTGTTCTCCCCTTACTAGGGAACTCACATGGAGGCTGAGCTGTCTATGTGCTACATCTAAGCAACAGTTTTACATCTTCATAGAGAAAGGATGGTCTTCAGTTGATTCATCAGTCTCACCACTGGGACCTGTTTTATTGTTTTCTTTCTTTCTTTCTTTTTTTTTTTTACTTTGTTGGTGTCTTTGTGTGGCTCCTGGCCCCTCTGGGTCCTTTTATATCTCCCTTCTTCCATAAAACACCTGTAGGTCTGTCCAAAGTCTGGCTGTGAGTCTCTGCATCTGCTTCAATCTTCTGCAGCTTGAAGCCTTTTCTTAGGATATTTTTATTTTTATTAATTACAGTTTATTTATTTTGTATCCCACCTGTATCTCCCTCCCTTTTCCCCTCCCAATCCCACCCTCCTTCCTTCTTCTTGACCCATGCCTCTCCCCCAGTCCACTAATAGGGGAGGTCCTCCTCCTTTTCCATCTGAACTTAGTCTATCAGGTCTCATCAGGACTGGCTTATTTGTCTTCCTCTGTGGACTGGTAAGGCTGTTCCCCCCTCAGGTGGACATGATCCAAGAGCAGGCCACTGAGTTCAGGTCAGAGACAGTCCTTGGGAGTCTTTTAGAAAACATCTTTTGTAGGTTCCCATCCTGTTTCCTCTCTTCTACCACTTTCAGTGTCTGTCTTGTTTTCCCTTTGGATTGAGAATTAAGCATCTTTCCTAGGATCTTCCTTGTCATTTAATTTCTTTAGCTCTGTAGATTTTAGTATGTTTATCCTATAGAGTATGGCTAATACCCACTTATAAGTGAATATATACCATGTGTGTCTCCTTCTGGGATATCTTACTCAGGATGATCTTTTCTAGGTCCATTCATTTGCCTACAAATTTCATGATTTCTTTGTTTTCAATAGCTGAGTAGTATTCCATTGTGCAAATGGAATTTACCACAATTTCTGTATCTGTGCTTTGGTTGAGAGCCATCTAGGTT